TAACAATGATACAGTGTCTTTGAAACATTTCCTGGTATTTCTCATTTTTCTTTCTTTCTCTAGTACTCATTTCTCTAACACATTCTTTCCGGGAGAACTTGTACCATGGGTCTCCCATGCTAGCTGCTGCCCTGTACGACCAGGGAGATACGGAATCGGAACATTTCCAAGCAGAATTTTAATTACTCCTTGGAAATGGAAGTCTTTGCTTGCATTAGTCTCCCCTCAATAAGTCTTACTCACTTTCTCGTATAAGACATTAAGACCTGCACTAATCGGTTCTCATTGAATTGCTCCCCAAGGCAAACTTGGGAAGAAGAAGTTGGTCTTTAGAGCTTATCCAAGCTCCCTTCCTCTCTCACCTCCCTTTTCTCCTCTATTAAGAATATTTATTGTCTGCTTCTTCCCTAAGCCCGTGCAGCAGCTTCCCAGGCCTGGAAATTGACTCAGGTCTTCTCCCATGGCTTCAAGTGATCGCACAAATCTACCAAGTTTCTTTCAAGGTTCACCTGCCCATGTCCTCATCCATGGTATTTCTATTTCTTATTTCTGAGGTTAGCTATGAAAATAGAAAGCAAAGTTTGTTAATATCTGACAAAGTAATCCCCCCAATCTATGGTTTCAGTTTCCATAATTTCACTTGCACTTGGTCAACTGCTATCCTGGAAATATTACAGAGAGAGGGAATAACTTTTATTATCATACATTTTTGTAATTGTTCTATTTTATTATTATTGTTCTTATTAATCTCTTACTGCCCTTATTAAATTAAACTTTATGATAGTCATATAAGTATGAGGAAAAAACACAGTATAGAGAGTTTGGTACTATCGCTACTTTTAGGCAGCAGTCTATGGCCTTGAAGAGAAAAAGGCTTTGAATCACATTCCAACTCTTCCATTTAGGATTTGGGTGACAAAACTCAGAGTTTATAAACCTTGGTTTTCTCATCTATAAAATGAAATAAGTTTGACAATACATAAGTAGGTGAATTCACTTGCAAACTGTAAATATTCCAGCAGTACAATGTTATTTTAATTAATGTTATTAGGGGAGAAATTTAATCCTCCTCAACTGTCAGCATGAAGTTAGTGATCTGCTTTACCAGTTTTCAGTGTGCGGGGCTCTTCCCGGAAAGCAGAGGATGGTTTATTTGTATAATCTCAGAAATAGGCACTCAGTTTCTCAATTTGAGCTCCATGCCCAGTCCCCTGTCCCCAGTATTTCTATTCATAAATGCTTGTCCTTCGGTATGAACTCTCTTCAAGAAACTCACCCTCCTTTGATAGGTGACTAACCTTGGAGACTCAGGGCACACACAATTATAGTATTTATAGCCCAGGAGTAAGAACCCTGGCTCTGTGCCAGGTCTGTAGCCCCATGAAATAAATTCAAGGCAAGTGTTACTTGAGAGGGACGGAACATGCCTCAAACTCATTAGGACCTTCTTGGCCAGCGAGGTGAGGGTATCTGAACATTGAGTGATGTTATGTGGCATCTAGGTGGAGTGAGTTGTTAGGGGAGCCTCTTTGCCCAAAGTTCTTGAGAATGGGGATCAAAGGGAATCCACTCACTCATATCTGTGCCTCCTCAGTGGTTCAAAGTGTATGTGCATTTTCAGATGCCCAAGAAGAGTAGAGAAAGAAGAAATATTCCAAAAGTAAAATCACTAAAGAATACATACATTCTGCAGCCTTAAATCAGTACCTATAAGCAGCACACCAACTATCATGTTAGACCTCTGGAGAGGTGTGAAACGGAGACGGGTCTCCATTCCTCCAGGCTCAGGTCAGTCTACCAGATTACATGGTCAAAGCCAGAGAATGGGCAAGAAATCCCAGTGATCACAGACAGTCTGGCCCTGTCACATGGAGTTGACTCTGAGTTTCAATTACCATGGAACCTAAAAGCAAGATCCCCAAGGTCAATTTCAGCAGAAAAAATACTTTTAATGACTTTTACTGGCTTGAGACTTGGCCAGTGGTCCTCCTAGCCATGTCTTAACATGATTTTGGTCCTAAAACAAAAGTCTAAATGTCTCAAATCTCTAAGTTAAAATTTCTTCCAGCAGGTTGAATTTAAAAGTCACTCGTGTAATAAAATCTCAACTTAAATTTTTTAGGAAGGGAAAATTTACAGAAATAAAAGTGGTCTTACATGTCAATAAAACAACTTCTTATCAATGCATTCATTGAATTGGTTACAATCAGTCTATCACTGTGTGTTTAATAACACATAAATCTTTTGCCATATTATGGTGATTAACGTCAGATAATGAAAATATTGTGGGAAAGCTTAACTCCAAGGACAGTCATAAGACTACCTAACAAACTCTTTGAATTAGTGAGATTCCTAGGAAACTTTGAGAGGTATATGAACAGGGCATCTGCCTGTTTTTCTCCTGGTTTTCTATATTACTGCAGCTCTAGAGCAAAAGCTCATTTGAAAATTCTTCTAGTGTTTTCATCCTGGCGCGTGGCATCACATTATATTTTGGTGTATAGAAAGCACAGTATGTGAGAAGGATAATATCATATCAAAAAGAACCCTGGAGATAGCTGTAAAGTATACTAGTTAGCAACTCGGCAGAGAACCTTCCATCAAACAACCTGAAGTGAGGTTGCTTTGTTCATTAAACTGACCCTACATGAACCATTATTGCTATTTGGCTCTGAATTATTAAAAATCAGTAGCAAGATTTAGCACACTTCTAACTCCAGGCTCTCCTGTTCTTCAAGATAAAACAGTCTCTCTTTGTGCTAGTTAGAAAACATATGTGAACGTACTAGCACTCAGTGTCTAGTGATAACCTTGTTAGTGTCTATATAACTGCATGTAACCACTCAGCATGACATCCTTTTCCATTTCTCTTTATGAATAATTTTGTTATACCTCATCCATTTTCTAGTGCTCTTTATTACAGCATGCAACTACATTTATTAGAGTTCCCATCAGAGAATTCTTCTTCTTGTTATCCTTAATAGTGCCATGTATTGCCCTCTCTTGACTGTATAGCTGGCACTGTTCAGAGTACAGTTATTAGTTTATAACCCTTACATTTTAAATTCCTGCCAAGAACTTCCTATGCTGAAGAATAAGTTTGCAATAAATATTCACATACTACCACCACCACCACCACCACCACAAGCATCACCAAGCACTGCCTTTTAGTCCATAAAAATTAGAAAACACATAGGCTACTAACTCATAAATTTAAACCTTTTAGGACCAGGCACTTCAGAAAGCTCTAAGGAACATATGCTAGAACACGCCTAGGACTTAAAGCTTTCAGCTAAATTGAAGACTTCTTGGTTTTGGTGCCACAAAATCCCTGACCTAAATTTTTATTGTGCAGACTACCTCACCCTGACTAGAGGTCTGCATGTATAAATACTAATTGCATGATGCATTCCATTTTCAGCAAACTTAAGGCAGTTTCTTACGTGTCTACTTAAGAGGAACTGCCTGCTGTGTATATCCATTTTAAAAATCAGTATGCTGATTGCGCACCAGTGGCTCACACCTGTAATCCTAGATATTCAGGAGGCAGAAACCAGGAAGATGACAGTTCAAAACCAGTCTAGGCAAATAACTTGTAAGATCCTATCTCAAAAATACCCAACACAACAAAGGGCTGGTGGAGTGGCTCAAGTGGCACAGTGCCTGTCTAGCAAGTGTGAAGCCCTGAGTTCAAACCCCAGTACCACAAAAAAAAAAAAAACCAACAAAAAAAACCAACTCCCCCACCCCATCCCTTGCCAAAAACCCAGTATGTTGAACATGATCAGACCAATGCCCGAAGATCTTAGGACCAAATCTGGAGTATGCTCAGACCTGCAGCTTCAGTGATGTCTTAAAGAAAGTTTGATATCTGTATTTGAGGTGCAAGTTCAAGAACTGGCTCATAAAACCTTGTTGAAAGACTTTTCTAACTAAACTGCATCATCTAAAAGACAGACTACGTGAAATAGGTCCAAGAAATGAATTAGAATCAAGACTGCTAAAAGAGGTAGGAAAATAGAAAATTTTTCTAGAAGATTCCTTAAGCTAGTGAGAACAGAAGATAGAAAAAGAGGAGGCATAAATGTCAGAAAGAAGAAAAGACTAATCTTAAGACAGTAGAGTAGTCAAAGGGGTCCAGAGGCTGGCGTTCTACATTGGATCAAGTGGCTAGTCAACAACTCAGCATAAAGCAAAGAACACCTAGTGCAGGTGGTTCTATTTTTAATGTATTTCACTCAGTATAGGAACTGTTGGAAAGGGTAGAAAATGATGACAAAGATAAGGAGGACAATATTCCATATTTAAAAGCAAAGTAAATCACAGCCAGTTATCAACACAAAATTGTTCAAAATGGACTGAAGATCAAATTGAATGCCATTTGATTACAATCAATTTGTATATAATGCAAATTTTGCCATACATCCAAACTGTGTACAGATGAACACGAGCGCTTGCTTAGATAAACATAAGAAATTTTTTTGACACCCCAGAGGTATTGTGCCTTGGGCCTTAACATGGTTAGATGTTGGACACTATTTCCCAAACTTTCTCAAGTCAGAAGACTGGGTTTTCTTCCTCTGTTTTGCTCCTATCTCATCTCACTACTTTCTTTAAAGTGTTTTTAATCCAACAAACCATTTTTCTTCCCTTTGGAAAGAATACATGTATACTGCTCCCATATTTGGTCCAGTGGCTAAAGTTCTTGAATAATTTCTCCAGATCCTTGCTACTCACTGTTGGACCTGCCCAGAAGTAAATGTGTATCCTGGGAAAATCAAACATAAACTGTAGGTTTACTATTTATCCTTTCCTAGGAGAGATTGTTTACCTCAACTTCTTGAGTCAACTGAGAGGCAAGTTAAGACATTTTATAACTAGATAAAAATTTGAATTCCTCTGTGATTGTAAAATTTTTCCTATAATGACTTGCATGTAACACTGGTGGCAGTTAATTATTAGAATGGGTGAATGAAGGGAGTTTCTCAACATTCCTACATCTATGCTTTTGTGTTAGCTTCACTCAACTTCTTAACCTTATCTGAAGCAAAAAAAAAAAAAAAAAAAAAAGCCCCATCAGGATCATACTCCTTCTCAGTGTTGGAATTTACCTATCTTTTGCTCAACCATCAAAAATCTTAAATGCCAATCTTAAATTCTAATTTGTATAATATGCCACACAGGCATATTTAACAGGCAAAAACTATTCATTTTATATCCACTTTTCTAGAATTCTATTATTTTTTCCAAAACATATGAAAAATACTCATTTCCTTAAAGTAAAGCCAAATTTACTATATTCCAAAATTTCTACTTTAGTTTCCTGTTTTTCTGTTCTTGGCAGTACTGCAGCTTAAACTCAGGGCTTCACTAAAACTTCCACTTTAAATCTTATAGTCATTTCATAGTCATCTAACTCATGTATTGCTATGTCTATATAAGTAGTAGAGTCATTGACCGTCTAATCTTTGGTTGTATAGAATGTACTATTACTGTTCTCCCTTAGCCTTGACATCCTGAGAATTGCAATTCACCAAAGTAATTCAGGCTTTGAGAGCAAATGGAGTTCACACTCTAGTTTACATTTTGGGGTTGCTGCTATAAACTATTAACTAAGATTCCCAGTGAAAACTGTGCACTCTGATCACCCAGAGTCAACAGAGCACCATGACTAGAAGGTGAAGATTCATGAATGTTAAAGATGACCAATATTCTGGCATAAACTTCACAGTTTGAAACATATAGCTATATTATTTATATGAAAGTGTGCATGATTAAATAGAGGCATATTGACAAATATGGGATAAGTTGACTTTTCTTCATGGATTTCTTGTTATGAAAGTCTTTTATGTTACCTGAATCAAATAAAATAGTCCAAACAGAAACAGGTTGTTTGCTTAATGGTCTGTGAAACTAGGACCAATGATTGCACTTTTAATTTCTGGCACTAAGGCTTTCACCATTTAATAAAATCATCACATTGCTGAAATTTCTTCTCTTGCCTCTGTACCCTGTTATGGCTCAAAGATTAAATTTCAATAATGCAATCAATAGTGTGATGAGGAGACTGTGGCTTTCTTTTCAGAGATGCATTTCTCAGAGAAAGGCAGGGAACCACTTTTGTAAGAAATGGCAATCATTCTAACTCTCCTGAACCCTGATCAAATACTTGTCTACCCTTAAACTCAATGCTTTCTAAATTCTGCTATTTGTGAACTCTTGTCCATGTAATCCTCAAAATGTCAGAACACATCACCATCTATATCCATATTTTATTTAGCAATTCTTTTAGCCCATACTCTGTGAATATAGTGTGTATATATGCACAAAATATAAAGTTATAAGATAACAATGAAATAAACTCCAACCTGTTAATACTCGCTTTCTCCTGTCATTTTAATTTTTAAAAAATTTTTTAAGATTCCTTTTTTTTATTTGTTTATTCATATGTACATGCATTGTTTGGGCCAATTCTCCCTCTCCTGTCATTTTTAAAACAGGCTCTGAACACACCTGAAGATATTTCTGTAGCTGGCATCTGCTGGTGGTTCTGGCTTCTTTCAGAGACATGTTGCTCAGGCAAGTTCTGAGCTACCATGCTGGGTTTCTGTGGAGTCACTGGAGTCGAGGACTGTGAGGAAGGCTGTGTGAGGTCATCAGGTGGGGGAACGGGAAAAACCACAGGCTTAGAGGAACTGGACTCTTTATTTATAAGCAGCACGTGGATAGGTCCTGAATGACTCTTTAAATTTATCTGGTATTTCTTTTGTCCATTCTGACCCTTTGAGTTATTGGGTATAAAAAAATGAATATTAACACTTCTAGCTATCTTAAAACATTAAAACTAAGGCAAAGCTATTAAGATCTAACTAAGTTCACACAACATCATCAAGCTGAACCATGAGTAGAAACCAAAAGCAGAATGGAATATTTAGGGCTCTAAACCACTTGCTGGTCATCAAGAACTTGGTTAAAGAATTATGGCAGCTATTCATTTTGACACAGGTCTTTATGTAGCCCAGGCTGGTCTTGAACTTGTGATTCTCCTGCCTCAGACTCTCGACTGCTGGGATTACAGGCATGTCACCACACTTGGCTCAACAACTAGGCATCTTCACTGTGTAATCCTATCTGGCAGTGCTCCATACAAATGTACTCCATCCCCTGGTGTGGGCCACTGTGAAAGCACCTCAACATGTTGTCTTAATTTACAGCTGTTTTACAAGTCAAAACCCTTTCCTTCCATTCAGAAAGCAGACAGACAACTGACTTTTCCTACAAAGAATAACTATAAAATCCCTCTACTGTATTAAAAAAAAAGTTTATAGATAATACAGTAATGTTTTTCTAGTTCCTTTTTTGATTGTTGTAGCTTAAAGTAGTTTGTTTTGGAAAATCTGAATTTGAAACCTAAAGCCATGAAGTTTACATATAGTCAATGAATTTCTAACTCAGTAAACCAAAAATATGCTATTACAGACCTAATTTTAAAATAGTCAAACGTTATTTATATTGAACTTTTTTCTCAGTCATGACTTTTACATTATTTATAGTCATTCTAACTGATTTTTAAGAGATATTAGCCTTATTATTATTCCTTCCTTGAGATCCTTCATCAAATAAAGTCAAATAATTTTTCAAAAAAATTGTGACCAAATGATTTTGAATTGAATGATTGGCCACTTTCATAATCTTACCAAGGTAATGAAGACATCCAAATTTCAGATGTCTGAAAGTATTAATATGCTTTTAGATATAAAATTTGGAAGGAAGCAATAACTCAAAAGTGTTCATACTCAATTAGTTCTGTTCCGCTCAAGAAAATACATTTGTCCCTCTTGAAATAGGAGATCCATTTTTTCCCACTTATACTACATACCATTTCTGGAATAGGTACTTCCAACTGTGTACCAGAAGGTGCCTGAACGGCCAAAAGTGTATCATCTGGTCAAAGCAATAAAGAATTAAAAAATTAAAAAAAAAAAATAAATAAATAAAAGATCATTAGCTGCTATCTCAAGGAATATTTTCCTTTTAGGGTTTATTTTCATGACAGTGGATAATAAATCCATATTTTGAGTAATTTTTCTTGATTTTTTTATAATTCATTTAAAAGAAATGTTGGAAGATTTCAATTCATCTATTTGTTTTAGGTCATAGAATAACACTGTCATTTCTCTGTACTTTTCCCATAATCACCTGGGCTTAAGAGACTACTATCTTCAATCAGTGATATTTCTTAGAAAATTTATGAGATACTTGTCCACTTTGAGAGCATTAGTTTAGTTAAAACCTAACAAAATAATCTATAAATTGATTTCACTGGCCATACACAAGCATATGATATGCTGAAAATAAGCCAATGAGTTAAAGGTGACTGTATTAACCAATAATTCTGTAAGCAGAATTATTACCTTTCTCCCAGGACACTTACCTAGCACATGTCTTCTGAAATACAGACTGAGAACCATTTAATATGTTCATTAAATCATAGTAAAGGTTAATTTCATTCTTACTATTAATATACCTGATAAGTATACATAAAAGCTGTAGTATTTTCTTCTCCTACCTCAATGGACCATCTTGTACACTAGGTCATGTCTACATTTCCACATTCAAGTTTGAAGGCTTCTGTCCAAACTGAAAAACCTGAGCTTTTCTTTCACATCTTTTGCCTTCTAATTTTTAACACTATCTCTGGGTGATTTTGCATACTCTGAAGATATGAAGATACCACCAACTCAAAGTCCTCTTCTGAACTATAAACCCATCTCCATAAGAAAATCCTACTTTTTCAAAATTGAACTTCATTTGTGACTAACTTCTACCATTTACCCTTTACTCAAGCAAGAGCCTTGACCTTTCTTTCTTTGCTTTCTACATTGCCTATCAATAGATTCCTTCCCCTCCATCTTGCAAAATCTCTCCCTGATACCACCATGGAGCCTGTCTTAATTCAAAGGTTGTTTCTGCTCAAAACAATGAAATTTAGGGACTGGCAGAATGGCTCAAGTGATAGAGTGCCTGCCCAGCAAATGTGAGGCCCTGAGTTCAAATCCAAATACTACCAAAAAATGAAATTTATATACTGAGTCCTCCAATTTTATTGCTATCTAGCAGATCTTTATTTTATTGCTGGGTGATCTTTTTAAAAGGTAAAGATTTTGTTACTCCATTTTAGGAACTGAACATTAATGGTTTCCTTTTGTCCACAAAATGGAAAAGGTCTTCTATGATATGGCTCTTGCCCTTTATTCTTTCCTCACTCTTTAATATTCTTCTTTACACCATTGACTCTAACCAGCCCAAATGATTTGAAAATCCTAAAGGCATATAGTGCTTCAAAAATCCATCCATTCTAGGCTTTTCCTCTACCTAAAATGCCAGCCACCCTCAACCCTGCTCATCCTACATGATCTAAGACTAAATTTTACACCTCTAAAAACTTTTCTGCTGTAGGTAGAATTGTTTTTATTCCATCTCAATCCTATCTCTTTCACTTCATTTTAGTTGATTTACTTATTTTCTTCCCCACTTGATGGTGAGAACCTTTCCAGAAGGAATCATTTCTCATTTATATTTATAGAATCTAGCACAAAGTCTAGTACGTAGCAACAAGACATTTCATTAACGACATGTGTGAAGAACTGGTCTAGGAGCTAAGGATTCAATAGACAAAACTCTGAGTTCTTGTAGTGTAGATTAAGAGTGACATTGAATGCTATCAATATTATAATACATATTATAATATGTTATAGTTTATGTCACATTTATTTGAGCTAAATTGTGCCAACTAGTAGATCTCACTTTGGAGTCACCAAGCTGACCATAAACCAAAAATGCATTCTGCTAACAAGAAACTCCTGTAATTAGATCAAGAAAAGCTATTACTCATTGAATGCAATTTACATAACGTCAGCTTTTTAAATTAAAAGGGTAAAAAGATTTGCATTACCTTTGAAATGCTTTTTTGGTAACCTTTACCTTTCAAGACAAATCTCTCTCATAAATAGGGCCGGTGTACATAGTAGATACTAAGCAGTTATTTGTGAATGTGTGTAAATGAACACTAACCAATTAATTAGGTCAAGAATGTCTATGATTCTCTTCAGAAAATGAAACTAGACAAGAAGGTGAGTAAGCTAAAGTTAATGTCATTTTCACTAAGTACATTTTGTGTGATGCTCAATGCTCTACTTTAATCTTCTCAAATCAGGCCACAAGTCTGATGCTGCTGACTGACAATTTCAAAAGTTTTTCCCTTCGATAATGATCAATGACTATGTTACAGCTCCTGTCTGAAGTATTCTACATGTATTGTCTCATTAAGTGATCACAATTTCTCCATGAGCTAGGCACCACTATTACTTGTATCTTACAGATGCGGAGACTGAAACTTGAAACTGCTTAATCATTGTCTATAAGCAATAAAGCAAGAACTTAAACTCATGGATTTGGGTCATGAAATAATCTAGATTTGATCTGTGTTTCACCACAAATCACTTGAGGCACGGATACTGAGAGTTAAGTCTGAAGGTATATAAAACCATCAAAGCCTGCTGCAAACATACCTATAGTCTACCAGACCTGAGGGATGTTCACAAATATGTAGCAAGAGATGAGAATTGAGAAGGGAAGAAATAGTAACTGGGACCTGAACATAGAAGTTGTAAGTCTTTAACCTCAAAAAGTTTCAAATGAGAACCTGTCATTGGTTCAGGAAGAATGAAGAGGAAATAGTACCACATTGATTATTGCTGAAATTGTTTATGGGGAAATACATAAACAATTTTCACCTCTGCTTCATGTCAGGTTTAAATCCATGCTGGCATGCTTAATGTTCAAATGTCCTGATGGGGTTCGGAAGCAGCAGAGAAGGCTGGATGGGAGGGCCAAAAATATATCACTGCTATTTGAGATTAATATATTTAGTAGAAATTGGTCTATCAGGTTTGCTCTAGTTACCAAGCACAGCAGTGATGAATGGGACTTAGGCAATCATGTTTTGAAGGAATATTGAATTTGAATTTGGTGAGCTTAGAACAGAATTAGAAAAATGGAAATCAGGATGGTGGCTGATTGGGAAGAATGATGATGGGGAGAAGAATGGAAGGTGAGCCAGAAACAAATTTACCTACTTCAATATATTTTCTGTCTGTTTCTGTGACTTAGCAACTTACAAATTCCAAAGTAATTCACACTTCAGAAATGAGTTCTTTATGATGAACAAGAGGTTTTGGAGACCAGCCTATGCTCAAGTCTAGGTTATATTTCTTGCTAGATTTTCAAGCTAAACTTATCTGACCTCTTGCTTACTTTTCCTTTAAATGGGAATAATATTTATCTCTCAAAATGACTGTGAGAATTGAAGAGATAATATATAATAGCCTCAGGACAGGCCTAGTACATTGTAAGTGCTCCAAAAATTTCAATTATCTTTTCCCCCAGTTGCACTGTGAAATGAATGCACCTTTTATAAGCAATTAGATTTGTGGTAATGTTAAATGACAAGAGTTTGGGGAAATAAGAGCAGTGGCTAACATCTGCTTTACACTCGAGTTATTCAAGATCAAAATCATGATCTTTTTTTTTTCCTTGAGAAGTGGGGAGAACTGACCTTCATGTCAATACTGGGGTTTGAACTCAGGATCTTGTGCTTGCTATGTGAGCACTATACCACTTGAGCCATGCTGCCAGCCCTGGCATGATCTTCACGAGGGATGATACATTGCAGTACAATGTGCATCTTCTATCCTACCTGGGATTCCAGCTTTTCTTCATCTCCTTATCTGTAAGTAATATGGCACTTCAAACAACTCTACTCCTTGTTCTTACATTGTTTTTCAGCAAAAATATGAGAGTGGGGTATCCTACTCACAGGCATTGACTATACATGATAATAAGATTCATAATGACTATAATGAGTGTATTTTATGTTAATTTTTAGATGCTTCAAATAATACTTCATTATCAGCAAGGGTATCTAGACAAGAATTTAGTTAGTCCTCTAGAAAATATTTAAATAGCAAACACAGAGGTTTTACTTTTTATGTGTTGGGCACTATTCTAAGTGTTTTCCATGAATTGACTCAATCCTCCAAAACACATATAAAGTGGTCACTATTATTATATCTACTATGTAAATAAGGAATTTTAAGCCAAAGAAGTTAAATAATTTTCCCAAAGTAAATACCTGTAAATGCAAAAGTTGTCTTGGGTTCTTATCAGTCTACTCTGCCATGATCCACCATTCCTCATGGTGCTGAGAACCCTTTGTATAGATAAGGCTTTATTCCTCCTAGTATCAGAATTTTCCTAGTACTATGGAGTTCTTGTCACATTGCATCCCTTACCTAACCCCTTAAGGATGGGCAAGCAACTTTCTTATAATATATAGAGAAATTATTATAAAATTTACTGCTAGATTGAGACCTTGAGTGCCACACTAAATTTTTATAACAGTTATAAAATACCTTAAAAAAAATCTAAGCCTATCATGGGACTGTTTATAGATCCTAATAATAACTCTCTGGCCAAGCAGACTCGTGGAAGTCTAGCGACTCAAGTCAAGTTAAGCAAGGATAAACGTTTAGGTGATTTCTTTAACTTTATGCTAGACTCTTCTTCCCTTTTTCTGAAAGAATACTAAGAGAAGGGGGAGGTGAGGAGAGATGGAGAAGAGAGTCTCCAATAGGAGCCCTAGTAGATCTAATTTTCTGAACTCCAGTTTTCTTTTAAGTAAAATGGTATTCACTACATTGTGAAGTTCTTTGAAATTCCATTTTACTAAATCCGCTCAAGATTTAGGAAGCCAATTTAATAAGTGATTATAGAATTCCAGCCATCCAAGTGATGCCTTAGGAGTTATTCCCTTGTTGTGTTTCTTTTTAAGTATTGGAAAGCCTGGGGAAATACTAAACAGAATTATGAAAATGAATCATACA